AGGTGACTGGGTGTATGCTGATGATCATATGATTGTATATGAGAGATGGACATGCCACCCATTGATTTTCGCAATCAGTTTTGGTGCTTTAACTTCAGATTCACAGCATCATAAACTGCAGTTTGTGTACATCGTACACGACAAAAAAAGCAGGCTTTTAATACTGATGATCAGGTCCACAATAAATATCCAATCAAACAGGGCAAGATGGAAGGGATAGCAAACCATTAAGCCATAATGATTAGACAGGACTTTAACAGAGAAAGTTACACTAAGCAGAATGGCACAATAAATACAACGACAAAGACAGAATTAATCACAGGAAACTGACTAAGGATTTGATACAGGAGGGTAACGAGCAACAGGTGAAGACAGTCAAAATAGCGAGTCAGGGGAGATAGTGAAACACAAAACAAGATGCAAGAAAATTATCCAAATAAGACAGGAAATGACAAAAGAACACAAATTAACACCGACAAGGAAACTCACTAGAAACTTGATACAAAAGGGAACACAAGAAGAAGACACTAATACAAAAATCTAAACCATAAAAACCTGAATAACGGAAAGTAAGAATTCCGACCTAAAAACATGATCAATCCAATGGATCATGTCACACTATCCCCATCTTTGTCAGAGCCACAACAGACTGGGAGAGGTTGAACTTGCAAATAGGCCATAGCTAAGCTAACCACATTGCAAAGCATATTATTCATCAGATACTTGCATTAAAAATGCTCTAAAAAGGTTTTTGTTTTGTTTTTTAAAAGTCCAGTTTTGTGACCCTAATTAGTGGAAGTGATGCAGGAGGCAACCACTTATCCATCTGTCAAAAGTGCAGCAAAAAGATCCATCCTATGGTTTGACTAAGGGAGCAACTAGCTGTAACAACCAAAATTGTTGTTGTAGACATGCCTTTTAAATAGATGTTAATGTAAATATGAGCATTTTTACAAGGCGGTCACTATAACATGAATGGAACTTCATGTTGAGCCCTGGAAATTGGGACTTTCAGGATTGAGCAGCAATTTGTGTCTTGCTGGTGCCATCACCCAAGTGAGCATACAATTCACCAACAGATAATCAGTAATGCAATCAACAAAACTGATTCGCTTAACAGAGTTCAAGTTAACATATTGCTAAAATGAACCAGGGAGAAAAGTGCAATCTGCCCTTCTGTCTGCATGCTGCCAGTATATAAATGGAAGATTTCTGTACCTTTTAAAATGGTGTGTGGATGACAATCAGATGATCGTAGCAACACACTAGCAACCTGTCCAGGTTGTACACCGCCTGTCACCTTGTGATTGCCCAGACTGGAAAAGCCAAGCCTGGACGTATAATCAGATCACATTGCATCTGCACTTCTGCATGCTGAAATTATTCAGCGTGTGGCAGTTTCCATAGACACGGATTTAACTAATAAATGTGTCCTTGTTAACCCTCAGAAAACTGGCTTCGCTATTACTAATGAACAATGGTATATGCATTCATAATATTTAATTGGAAGATTATACAGCAAATAATGTACTTCATTATAAAATCTGCATCCTGAATGTTACTTTTTCTTTATAAATATAATTATTACTAATGGCCCACTCAGCTACTGTAGTTTTTGCATGAATGTTGGTGTTTGTTTTGATATATGCAGTGTTTTGTTGTACATAATGTTTTGTTTGCCTTCGATAAGTTGTATTGTTTCTTCCTTATTTCCTTCTCTTCATTTTTATTGTGTCTCAGTTTCTTCCGGTTTTTCTTCTTTTGTTTTACATCTGAACTCTTTACCCCTCCCTTTTTTCTCCTCTTGTGTCTTGTCAGTAATTTATTATGTTTATGTTTTATTTACATCCTGTTTCTCCCATGCAAGTCATTAGTCTGTTTTCATACCCAACTACAAACCTCTGTTCAGTCACTGTGTATATTGACAGTGTTTCTTCCTTCACAAATAGGGGGTTATTTACTTACTTTTTTTTAACTTTATCCATTTTGTTATTTGCTCTTTGAGGCCAACTCCTGTGCCC